GAGGTACTTTAATCCTGAACTCTAAAAACTCTAAGCTCAAACAACAAGAAATCAAATTTGGTAGTTAAAATTAGTAAAGCAGATTTCAGACTAGTTTGCTCACTCTTAAATCACAGGTTATAATGGTCTCATAATGCTTCGCTGTGGCCTGAGTAAATGTTCCCTGCTGCTGGGGAGGAATGGAACAGTGACCTCAGGACATCATTCTGGTTGTGCTCTGAAGGCGGAGGGAAAATGTTGGTATTTTTCCCTCTTCAGTGTTCCAGGGTGCAGCGTGGCTGGTCATCTCCACAGGGCAGAAGGAGTTAGCAGTCTGAGTCACTTCACCAGAATGCACCTCATGTGCCCTGTTCCAGGTTTCAAATAGCAGAGTGTCTGGTCATGAGGAGCTCCGAGGAGGTCCGCTGAGAGCACAGCCCAGCCCCAGGGAGAAAGCAGGCAGGAACCATTTGCTCAGACTGTAGCTCCAAACAAAAGGACAGAACATTTCCAGACTTGAAAATCCCCACTGTTCCACATTTAAAGGAACTGGCTGGAAGTAAAAACCCATGGAAGTAAAAACACATGGAGGCAACAGATAAAATATGTTTAGCAGGCAACCGGTTCAGAGAGTCTGATGACAAGTTTTATGCTTTTAGTTTGTCTGGAAAATGATTACTTCCATCAATAGTATATTATGGATTGAATTGCATCCTCCCAATTTTGTGCATTATAGATATTGAAGTCCTAGCTTCCAGCACCTCAGAATATGACCTCGTTTGGAAACAGGGTCCATGTGGATATAACAGTTAAGATGAGGTCATTAGGGATGGGCCCTAATCCAGTTATGACTGGTGTCCATATTAAAAGGGGAAATTTGGACACAGACATGCATGGGGAGGATGTGCAGATAAAAGCAGATGACGTATAAGATGATGCTCCTATGAGCTAAGGAGCATCAAAGATTTCCAGCAAAGAACCAGAATCTAGGGGAGAGGCAGATTCATTTTCAGAGCTCTCAGAGGAACCAATCCTGCCAACACCAGATCTTAAACTTCTAGCCTCCAGGACTGTGAGACAATAAATTTCTGTTGTTTAAGTCACCCAGTCTGTGGTGCTTTGTTGTGGCAGCCTGAGCAAACGGAGGCAGTATGTATGCAGGTTTAAAACCCTAACGGAATTGAGCAAAATAAATAGTAGTCAGGTCATTGCCTGGTTACTGTTCTTCCTGAGGAAAGATGCTAATGCTACAAGCCCTTCAGGAGAAGCCTAAAGGAGGTATACTAACGTTTGGTGTTTGCGAGGGGACCATTAACACGGTACTGCCATGAGCGCCTTCAGTGGTACCTTACTAGAATGGAAAGACTTTGCTCTTCCCCTGAAATCTTTACATACGGCTTTATGGGGAGGAAACAGGATGTAGAATCGCCCTTTTTCTGGCAAAAGAATAAAAGCAAAGTTTGTTCCTGTTAAGCACAGGGTGTAATACCCATAAATTTTCTTCTTTCTTTTTGTTCTAATTAGGCTTTATTATTCTTACTTTTCATACTTTTTAGTTTTTAATATGGATTTTGGGTTTTTTCCAGCAACTTTTACTTCTCTTTACTGGTTCCATCACTAAAATGAAGGGTTGAGATGAATCAGAACCACCTGTGTTTTTCTTCTAATAAATTGGTGAGCAATGAACAAGGCACAGAGGACCAGGCACAATGATAATCAGCAAAGTGGATTCCGATACATGGAGTGTGTGCCCACAGGGTATGGGCTATGCTCAGACTCAGAATGACCCAGAGGCCATGTGAAATGGGACCGTGGTGTCTTTTCCACGGTCTGAGCTTCCAAGTCCTCTTTCTAAGAAAAGCTACCTCTCTGGTCATGTTCTGTTAAGGCCATCTTTTATTCATTGGTCCTCAAAGTCACATTCATTCTGACCTCATGTATTGAGCAACACATTGCAACTCAGTATTACAATTATTTGCTTTCTATGGTAGATCTTTCAATAACATCTATAACCTTGGTTAGATCACAGCTATCATTTGTGATATATGCTACAGTAAAAAGGAAAGATACGGACGAGGTTTAGTAGCTTTCTCCCAGTAACTTAGAGGGCAGGAGCTAACCTGTCCGTCAGAGGCAGTGATTTCTATCTCCCAAACCAGTGATTCAATATGAAGAACGTGCTGCACATGTTGCAAGGGCACACATTCTTCTAATTTTCTCAATATTTCACCCAAGAAAATTTATTGGGTCACCAGGCAAACAAAGGCCATGACACACACAGTGTGGAATTGCAGCATTGCAAAGGACTGCCAACTACGTGAGGAACCTTCTTTCTCCCTTCCCTGATATGCCACAGGGCCTCCAGTTGACTGGAGCTTCCAGTGACAACAGCTAAGTAGCTGCAAAGCCGCCACGTCCATTGTTGTACAGCTGGATGAGCAGTACTATCTACAAACACGTGGGCCATGTTTTTTCATTGTTTGTCAGCCCATGTGGGCCATATTTTATTTATTGTGCCTTCAGCCATAGTTATCTCAGAAAGGACTAATTAGTAAGGAATGAAGTACACTGCCTTGGATGCCCAGCTGGGTGGCTTCACTTTTCTAGCTGTTTATTTCAATTCAAAAGGAAATAAAAAGCAAATATCAAAGGGACAAATTTTAGATACCAATACATTCTAAGTATTCATATTTACCAAGTACCTACTATGTGCATAGGAGTGGGCCAGGAGAGTAAAGGGAGATAGAAGTCAAAGATCATTACCACCAATTAACTTAAAATATTGTGTGTATGTAATTAAATATACGAGACAAGTTCAAAATTAAGGGAACATATAGTATGGTAGAAATCCTAAGTTGATCATTTAGACTAAATTCAGAGGGTGGTTATAAAAAATGGAGAACTTATAAGAGCCGTATCACGAAGTAGCTAGATCTTGACCACACTGTGGAGCACAGGTGAGATTTACGGGGTCATAGGAACTAAGGTGATTTCTTTGAGGACATGGCTAGAATTAAAGCTCAGTTAGACAGCTGTTCCAAAACACATGAAATAAGCTGGTGTGGATTCTGTCACTACATTTAAAAGCGAGGGCCACAGGGACGGGGGAGGAGTTCTGACACGTAAGCGAGTATGAGCAGGAACTGCAACAATGCACTGTATACCAGGTAATCTGCTGAGAAAATCAAACTCTGCCTGGATTTTTCCAGCTGACAGAGTGAATAAATAAGGTGCATTTTCTTTCCCAAAGAAGATATACAATGTTACTGAGCTCCTTTGCCATTTCTCAGTTATTTGTCATTTGTCATTTTTAATATCCCCACGATGCACAATGAAACATTCCCATTCAGCTGATTGGAGTTTAATCTGTGTACCCTTCTTTATGTGTACAAATGTCCTCTCTTTCTTCCCAGAAGATCACACAGCACTTCCAAAGACGTACTTAACCACCTGATTAATTACTGAGCCTCTATGTAAATTACTGTCAAGATTAAGATGATCATTTCATCATTTGTTCAGCTTGATAAACACAGTTTAACATATCTGGCAAAGCCATTTGTATAGCCCTGCAATGTAAATGAAGGTACAGTAAAGCTACAGTAAGTCTATAATAATAATAGCCTTCGTACTTTGTTAACTATAGACAGTTCCCTAAGCAATTACAACATGTTCTGTGTTAATTTAGAGTGAAATTCCAAACAAGGCATTTAGAACCTAATCAGATGCCATTAAATGAAGGGAGACAAGGGAGGAGGAAAGAGGAAGAAAACCCTAAGGCCTGGACCAGGAGAAATGATTCTCAGAGCTACTGGCCCTTGCAAGATCCACATTTGCCTTGGACTTTTAGACACAAAACAGATTTCTAATTGAAGGTGATTATCTAGTTACTACATCCCAAATTGCATGTACTTCTTGTATTGAGTTACATCAATATCTAATTATGCAAAGCATTTATCAATGTGAAAGTCCACAGAAATAGCCGGGTTTCTGCATAAAATGAGAATGTGTTCTGTAAACTATGAGACACTATGTAACCACCAAGGCTGATCATCTTTGATGACAACAGTCTGCCTCCGGGTACTCCTAAGGATCTAGGAGCTGAATTACAATGTCCATCAACTGGGAACAAATTTTACAAGGAAATCACAAAAACAGACCTCCTGGTCTGCTCTTGGGTTTTCTCAGGTGCAAGCACCCCTGTGCATGCTATTCCCTAGAAATGTCATGTTGACGTCGTCAGCAGCACCACGAGAAAAAAAGTGAAAGTATAGCAACATACAATTCTAAACACTGAAAGACGAGTTTCTGTACTGCTGTTTTTATCACCGTTAATGTGACTCAGTGCCTCCATCAAAGATGGACAGCTTGATCAAGGCAATATAACAGTGAAGAAATACACGGTTCTGTTCAGCACAAATGTGCCTCTGTAAAATATAATTCCCATTAGTAAAGTTAATTAAGATTAATATACAAGTCATTGAAAACCCCCAAATAGACAACAAATAATTTACACAAAGACGAGAGGGACATTCGCTCTGAGTCGTTCACTGGAAGGATTGGAAGGAGGCTCTTAGTAGCACTGGAGTGGTCACCACTGACTACCAAAACGACATGCACCCAATCAGCTTGCAGAGGCCACAGACAACTTATTTCCTTAGAAAGGTTCTACAAACAATTGAGGGTGGTACACAGAAAAAAAACACAGAAGTGAATCTAATCACATACCTAATCATTAGTATCAAACAGGTCACACACACACATACACGTGACTGTGTTTTGGGTATTGTTTCACAGAGATGAATCAAACAGCACTCATCTTGGAAGCCCAGCTTTGGCAGTTTCCACTGACTTTGCATAGCGGTTTTACCCAGAATAATAACCTGCATTTCTAATCAAACGTATCACAAAGAAGCATCCAAGGCAAAGGCTAACACTGATATGTGGTAGAGAGCACCACACTTTGGCTGCTCACCACGATTGTGTGAAATACATCATCACCGAGAAAGCACTCCCGCCCCTACCTCAAGCGCCATGTTCACGGTGCTGATGGCCACTTTTATCTCTCCATCTGACAGCTCCTTGAGATCCTTCAGCATTATCTGCTCAATACATAGACCTGTGGGTGAAAGGGAAAAACAGTATGTTATACTCGGGGAACTTTTCCTTTTAGTAATATCAAGGAATGATTATTTAAAGAGTTTACCCTGTTAATTTCAATATTTTCCCCACTAATATTGCTTTTACCCATAATAAATACATACATAGGAAGGCAAAAATCACATTAGTGACAGTGTGTGTATTAGTTAGGATCCCAACAGGTAAAATTCACCCTTCATAATCCGAAAAAAGATTCTTTAATGGCAGGACACTTCAATGTGGGCAGGGCTGAGAGAGGGAATTAAAGATGGTGAGCATCTGTCAGAAGCTAGCAAGGCACAAGGAAACAGACACGTGGACCTGCCACGAGAGGCTGCCAGAGACTTAGCACCAAATGAGGAAGGGAGAGGGGAAGGAACACGATAGCCTCCTCCTTCTTCCCTCAACCCCCATGCCCCACCTGTTGCTGACTTTTCCCACTGATGAACCCCAACCAGAAGACAATAATCTGCAGGGAGCCCAGAAGATTACATACTCAGGAGTCAGCCTCTGGAGGCCCAGGGCAGACGAGGGGGCAGGTGGGCAATTGAAAACAGTCATACCCACAGAACCTAGCCAAATGGTACCTAACAAGGCCAAAATTTGCTTTCAGGCTGCCTTTAGGTGAGCCCCTAGGTTTTCTAGCATAATTTTACTAAAAAATGCACTTTATATATAGGGGACTTCTGCCAAGATGGAGGCAATAGGTGGAGACACCGTGCCTTCTCACACAACCAAGTTTAGAGACAACTGCATATTAGCAGCAGAAAACACAGCCAGAACACAGAAAATTGAAATTTTCGGAAGTCTGTTAACAACAAATTCTTCAACCTGACCGGTAAGGGGAAAAACCAGCAGCTGGTGGAGCGGGGTAGCACAGGAAAACTCGGTCAGACGGACTCAGGCGTGCAAAATCCAGGCGCAGGATTGGACCTAGTGAGAGACCCAGCGACCTCGGGGAAACAATGAAGGAGCAGGGCTGCGGGTTGACTGCAGCGCATTCGCGCGCGGATAGACAAGCGAGGGAGTGGGCGACCCAGTGGGTCCCACTGCGAGCAGCAGCAGAGAGGGCCACCATTTCCCCGCTCTGACCACGCCCCCACAGACAGTGTCACAACCCAGCGACCTGGGAGTCCAAGGCTCCCCTCCTCAGACTTAACGGTCTCGAACAGACCAAAAATGGCTCAAGAACATCTCAAAGCCCCAGAACCTATAAATCTAAGCAATGAAGAAATAGCAAAACTCTCAGATGCACAGTTTAAAACACTGGTCATCAGGATCCTCACAGAACTGGTTGATTATAGCCACAAATTAGACAGATATATGAAGGCGAAACTAATTGAAATTAATGGAATTGCACAGGAAACCAATAGCGATGGAAAGGAAACTGGGACTCAAATCAATGGAGTGGACCAGAAGAAAGCAAATAATGGCCAAACAGAAAAGAGTCAAGAAGCAAGAATTCAAAAAAAATTAGGAGAGTCTTAGGAACCTCCAGGACATCTTTAAACGCTCCAACATCCGAATTATAGGGGTACCAGAAGGGGGAAAGGAACAGCCACAAGTGGAAAACTTATTTGAACAAATAATAAAGGAGAATTTCCCCAATCTGGCAAAGGAAATAGACTTCCAGGAAATCCAGGAAGCTCAGAGAGTACCAAAGAAGTTGGACCCAAGAAGAAATACACCAAGGCACATCATAATTACATTAGCCAAGATTAAAATGAAGGAGAGAATCCTAGAAGCAGCAAGAGCTAAGGGGACAGTCACCTACAAAGGAGTTCCCACCAGACTGTCAGCGGATTTCTCAAAAGACACCTTACAGGCAAGAAGGGGCTGGAAAGAGGTATTCCAAGTCATGAAATCTAAAGACCTACAATCAGGATTGCTCTATCCAGCAAAACTTTCATTTAGAATGGAAGGACAGATAGAGTGTTTCTCAGATAAGATCAAATACAAGGAGTTCATCATCACCAAGCCATTATTATATGAAATGTTAAAGGGACTTATCTAAGAAAAAGAAGATAAAAAAGATGAACAGTGAAAGGACAGCAAACTCACAGTTATTAAGAACCACACCTAAAACAAAAGCAAACTAAGAGGACAGCTAGATCAGGAGTGGAAACATAGAAATGAAGATCTCAAGGAGGGTTAGCAACAGGGGAGTGGGAGGAGGAGAAGGGGGGAGAAGGTACAGAAAATAAGTAGCATAGACAGTAGATAGAAAATAGATGGGGGGGCAAGAATAGTATGGGAAATATAGAATCTAAAGAACTTGAGACACATGGTCATAAACTAAAGGGGGGGGTAATGGTGGGGACGGGGGGGTAGGGTGGGGGGGAATAGAACAACTGTACTGGCATAATCAATAAAAAAAAATTTAAAAAATAAAAAAAAATGCACTTTATAAATGTGACCCATAAAACTGTCATAATTAAGTTGTTTATCCTTATCATAGGCTCTGATACAGGAACTACTGAATTACTTAAATGATGGGAGGAATAATCCAGACAGCGAAATTACCCAGAACTGCCTAGTTTTAGTCAGCTGACCAATGTGCTTCAATAAAGTCAATGGTCAAAAAACATGAGATGGTCTGGCTTTGCATTTAATAACCTCACTCTAGGTTATCATGTTGGGTCAGACCTACCCTCTTGAGAAGAAGACCCATAATAAAGCCCAGCATGGCACATATACCCTTCCCGGATGCATGTTAAGACATTCAAGTTGACCACTTGTCCTCCTCCCCATTGAGAGCACAGTCAATCACAGCAGTCTGGGGAGGCAGAAAGGTACTAAATATTTTTCTTTGACTTGAAGATTGAAGGCTGTAATCATGTTACAGTATAAAATAACTTATAATACACTGTGACATTAAAAGTTTGGCCTGGTTCTAAAGATGAGTGACAAAGTGCACACCATCATGCAGCTGTGCATGCCCACACACCCACACCTGTGCGTCCGTAGCAGGTGTGGCAGATGCCCAGTGCCCCGCGCACACTTGCCATGTGGTGAGTTCCAGCATGATGGTTAGCCACCAGCACCTGCTTCTCCTCTCCTGGGGGCTTTCTCTGGCCACCAGAGGCTACTGGGGGGAATTGGCCCCTGGGACTGAGGAACCATCATTGTTCTAGCAGTATACTAATAAATGTTAAACAACCAGCAACAAAAACGGATTTGTAGTATTTGTCAGGTTCTCTGGTATCAATACATCTACAGTGAATAATCCCTTGTTGCCAACCTAAGATCAACCAACTCACAAAATTGCTGAAAGATTAACAATCAGCTCCTGGAGCACAGATGAACAAGTTCCAATATACCAGTGTGCCCCTTGTGTGGGATAACACTGGGGTACAATTTTCCTCCCTTCCCCAGAGTTCCCTAGTTGGATGAAGACCTGATGGCCCAGGGAGCCAGGTTGATAAAGCACTCCATCCCCTTTCAGTGTCTTCTGGGGTCAGCTCTCAAAGAGACTGCTTTGCCTCAGGCTCTGCCCCTGGGAGATTCCAGTGGAAGGGGGGAAGAAGTGCACCTTATCTTCCCTAACAGAGATAGGTTGTCTGGGTTTAAATCCTGGCCTGGCCACCTGCCAGCTGTGTGTGTGTGTGAGGATGGAGGCAAAGACACTGCCCTGTGCTTCAGTGTTCTCACCTGGAAACCGGGGGAAATAACAGCACCGGACAGAGTTGTCGTGTGGACTCAGTGAGGTGGTCCATACAGAGTTATACCATCAGAATCTTGTGTGTGCTAGGCCCTCCAAGGGCTGGAGCTATTTGTTAGTATTATTATAAAACAAATGATCCAGGAAATTCACAGTGTTGATAAAGCCTAGACTTGGAGAATAATTTTATCTACTTGACTGTCTTTTTTTAAATTTTTTTTCTAAAATTAATTGAGTTACAAAATTCCATTGTGCTTGACATTGCTCCTGACACATTCTCAAAGTAGAACCCTCTCGGTACAGAGATTTCATGTCATGATGCAACTGGGTATGCACTAGACGTGTGAATTAACCACGTGTCCAGACGCGGAGGCCTCCAAGGAGAGGAGGCTGCAGTACAGGCTGCCTGCTTCCAGGTGAGCCAACATCACATGCCTGGGAATCTTCCACAAGGGTGAACAACAGGAAGCAAAGTGAAGGCAAAATTCAATTCACCCCCTGAGGCCTGGCAACATTCCACACCACAAACCAGCCTGACTCAGGAGCTGCAGCAGAGCCGGGGGACCATCACTCACCCTGAGCACTGAATTGGCTCTTCTTCAGTACGTTGATAATGTCCTCTCTGGGAGGTAAGCTTGGAAATCTTTCTTCCAGGATAGAAAGAATTTCTTCCTGCTTCCCTGAGATCTTCTCAGATTCCATGGTCATGTACTTGAAAAGGATGCTACCTAAAAGGCATGAATAAAAAGAGCCTTAAAATTTCCTGCCAAGCTAGCATGGGGACCAGGGCAAGCAGTGTTTTCTGGCCCCTCGATCCATGCTTCCTCCTCCAGTTTCTTGCCTGGATCACGGGTCTCCACAACGTAGCCTTCAAGAGGTAGTTTTTAGAAAACCCTTCAATACCACCTGCCCTGCCTCGTTATTCTCCACAACTCATTAATTTCTACAATTTAACTGACCATAGCATACTCTACAACACGGACTTTATGCACAGAGGAACAAAATGTATAGTTTCCCTCCACCCCACGCAAACACACAAAAATGATAAACGTTGGTTTTAAATGATTTCAGAATGGAAGTTAATGGTAAACTTCCATTTAGAATGGTAAACTTCCATTTAGAATGGAAGGGCATATAAAGTGCTTCTCAGATAAGGTCAAGTTAAAGGAGTTCATCATCACCAAGCCCTTATTATGTGAAATGTTAAAGAAACTTATCTAAGAAAAAGAAGATAAAAAACTTGAACAGTAAAATGATAGCAAACTCAATAATTAAAAACCATGCCTAAAACAAAAATAAAAACAAACTAAGCAAACAACTAGAACAGGAACAGAACACAGAAATGAAGATCACATGGAGGGTTATCAGCAGGAGAGTGGGAGGGGGAGATAGGGGGGAAAGGCACAGAGAATAAGTATCATAGATGGTAAGTAGAAAATAAACAGAAGGATGGTAAGAATAGTATGGGAAATGTAGAAGCCAAGAACTTATAAAAATGAACTAAAAGGGGGCAATGTGGGTGGGAGGGGTGAAGGGGGTTAAATGGGACAACTGTAATAGCACAATGAATAAAATGTATTTTAAAAAAGACAAAAATTATCAAACTGAATTTTAGAAACTATAATATACTATTTACAAAGCACATACATTAAATATAATAATATTTAAAGGTTGAAAGTAAAAAGATATAAAGATATAAGATGGAGACTTCCGCCAAGATGGCGGCATAGGTGGAGACGCCGTGCTTCCTCACACAACCAAGTTTAGAGACAACAAAATATTAGCAACAGAAAACACAGCCAGAACACAGAAAATTGAACTTTTCGGAAGTCTGATAACAAAAAATTCTTCAGCCTGACCGGTAAGAGGGGCGAAAGCAGCAGCTGGCAGAGCGGGGTAGCACAGGAAAACTCGGTCAGGCGGACTCAGGCACACGAAATCCAGGCGCAGGATTGGACCTGGTGGGCCACTAACTCAGCAAGCAATCGCAGGGAAACAGCGAGGGAGCAGGGCTGCGGGTTGACTGTGGTCGTGCATTCACACACGGATAGACAAGCGAGGGAGTGGGCAATTGGACGAGAGCCAGCAGCCCCAGTGGCAAGGGGCAATGGAGGGCACCGCCATTTCCCCGCTCTGACCCCGCCTCCAGATACAGCGTCATAATCCAGTGACCTAAGTGGCCCTGCCCCCGTGAACAACCAAAGGTTCTGCTCGTTACCCAGCTGCGAGAAACCGCAGAGGGGGCCGCCATTTCCCGCTCTGACCCCACCTTCACGTACAGCGTCACAACCCAGTGACCTGAAAGTCCAAGGTTCCCCTCCTCAGACTTAATGGGAGCAAACAGACCAAAAATGGCTCAAGAACATCTCAAAGCCCCAGAGCCTATAAATCTAAGCAGTGAAGAAATAGCAAAACTCTCAGATGCACAGTTTAAAACACTGGTCATCAGGATCCTCACAGAACTGGTTGATTATAGCCACAAATTAGACAGACATATGAAGGCGAAACTAATTGAAATGAATGGAATTGCACAGAAACCAATAGCGATGAAAAGGAAACTGGGACTCAAATCAATGGAGTGGACCAGAAGAAAGCAAATAATGGCCAAACAGAAGAGAGTCAAGAAGCAAGAATTCAAAAAAAATTAGGAGAGTCTTAGGAACCTCCAGGACATCTTTAAACGCTCCAACATCCGAATTATAGGGGTACCAGAAGGGGGAAAGGAACAGCCACAAGTGGAAAACTTATTTGAACAAATAATAAAGGAGAATTTTCCCAATCTGGCAAAGGAAACAGACTTCCAGGAAATCCAGGAAGCTCAGAGAGTACCAAAGAAGTTGGACCCAGGAAGAAACATACCAAGGCACATCATAATTACATTAGCCAAGATTCAAATGAAGGAGAGAATACTAGAAGCAGCAAGAGATAAGGGGACAGTCACTTACAAAGGAGTCCCCATCAGACTGTCAGCGGATTTCTCAAAAGAGACCTTCCAGGCAAGAAGGGGCTGGAAAGAGGTATTCCAAGTCATGAAATCCAAAGACCTACAACCAAGATTGCTCTATCCAGCAAAACTTTCATTTAGAATGGAAGGACAGATAAAGTGCTTCTCAGATAAGATCAAATTCAAGGAGTTCATCACCACCTTATTATATGAAATGTTATTCCCTTATTATATGAAATGTTCCCTTATTATATGAAATGTTAAAGGGACTTATCTAAGAAAAAGAAGTTAAAAAAACATAAACAGTGAAAGGACAACAAACTCACAGTTATTAAGAACCACACCTAAAACAAAAGCAAACTAAGAGGACAGCTAGATCAGGAGTGGAAACATAGAAATGAAGATCTCAAGGAGGGTTAGCAACAGGGGAGTGGGAGGAGGAGAAGAGGGGAGAAGATATAGAAAATAAGTAGCATAGACAGTAGATAGAAAATAGAAGGGGGGCAAGAATAGCATGGGAAATATAGAATCTAAAGGACTTGAGACACATGGTCATAAATTAAAGGGGGGTAATGGTGGGGACAGGGGATAGGGTGGAGGGGAATGAAGGGGGGAATAGAACAACTGTAACAGCATAATCAATAAAAATATATTAAAAAAGATATAAGATGGATATAAAACACTAGTATCAGACAAAGTAAGCTATAAGAGAAGAATTACCTGAGATTAAGACAAATATTTCTTTCTTATTAAAGGGTCAGCCCTCAGGGAGCTATATTAATCCTAAATCTATTTTGCTAACAACATAGCTTCTAAACATACAAAGTGAAAATGGACAAAACTGCATGAAGAAAGATAAATGCATAGTCACAGTGGGAAATTTTAACACCTCTCTGTCACCAGCTCTAAGAACCAGTAGGAAAAAGTCTGTAAAGATGTACAATAATCGAGTGACATGAGGAACAAACTTGACTTAATTCACATATATTGAGCATTGTTATCAATAATGGCAGACTACACTGTCTTTTCTAGTGCAAATGAAACATTTACTCACACTGACCATTGGTTGAAGCATAAATCAAATCTTAAAAAATTTCAGGGCACTGCAATCAGTTATACTCTGTGACCAACCATAAAAAGTCTGATAATCATCATAAAACAAAAACTAGAAAATTCCCAAATATTTTAAAATTAAACAATGCAATTCCAAATAAGCCATGGTAAAAGAAGAAGAAATCACAATGTACTAGAATATATTTTAATTGAATGAGAAAGTATGACACTTGAATTTGTAGAATACAGCTACAGCTGCGCTCTGAGGAATTTTTCTATCTTTAAAAGCATAAGATGGTAAAAAGAAAACCCAGAAAATTTAACTAAAAATGTAGAAGAAAGGATACAATAAAGAGCAAAACTTAAAGGCATAGGAAACAAACACATACGAAGAAAGTTAATAAAACCAAAAGTCGACTCCTTGAAAAGACTATTACAATTTTGAAAACTGTCAAGAAAAAAAAGGAGACTGAGAGAAGGCATAATGCGCCAATATTAGGGGTGAGAATATTAAAAGCAGTGCACACTACAGGTTCTTCTGGCATTAAAAGATAAGTAAAACTTTATTCTGAGTCCTACAGAATAATTCAATGAGAAGAGACCGACACTGGTTTATGAAGTGTGACTCGACTATTGGAAGGGATATGACATACTGACACAAATGAGAAAAAATATTAAGCGTTAGAAAGACAGTCACTATACTCAAAGAGTTGTTTCTGGTTTGTAAAAAAGGCTTTGGCCCAACTTCAGCCACGGGGCTCATCTATAGATGCTTTTCCTTCATCACATTAGAGACACATTCAGCTACATACTTAGCTGAATGTATAAGTATCAGAATATACAGTAGCCAAAGGCACCTCTTTGCAAAATCAAACCTATTTTTGTAGTAAGTTGATTTAACCTCCAGGAAATTCAGCAGAACTCAAAATCTACTTAAATCCATACATGGACTGTACCCAATGGTGCCCCAGCTATTCGCAGGCCAGGGGGAATTAACAAGCAACAAAGAAAGCAAGGATTATAAAATAGTGACAAACATTTCATTCCATTAGAAAAAATCAACTGCATTATTCTTTGTGGAAGAGAATAGAGAAATGAAGGACCACTTGCCAAAAGCAATTGCAATACATTAATATTAAACATGATCTAATGAAGTCAGAGGTTGTTTGGGGAAAACATTCACCACAGTAAAGGCATATTCTGCAGGATAAATTCCCAGCAGAAAAAGAAGAATTTAAGCCTTTTTTCCTTGTTTCACCTGGGACTGATTTTTTCATACAAAAACAAAACCATTAATGAATGAATAATAGAGGGAGGGAAAGAGGGGAAAGGAGAAGAAAAAAAGGATTAAAAAATACAACTTGACTCACATTTTTGCCTGAAAAGAGATGAAAAAGAAGCGTCTTATTCAAGTGCTTAATAATCTTATAAATTTAAAATGTCTCAATTTAATAAGGCTTTTCTTTGTAGGACAGAAGAAATAACTAACCCCAAGGTTGAGAAATTGTGCTGGTTTTATGTCTAGCTGAAAACAAATCCTTTCTTTCCCTACCCCCAGTGCAGGCCTTTCCTCTGCCAAGCACAGTAAGCAAGGCAATTCCCTTTGGAGTTTGTAACCATTTCAGGAGAGGGATGATTCACTGTTTGGACAACAGAGGAGTAGGGGAAGCTGGCCCTGTTCCCCTCCTATTTGACCTCCTTAAAAGGATCTTTTTGAAGCTGTTGATACAG